GTGACATCGTTACTGGCAGCACGCTCAACAATTCCACGTTTTTCAGACCAAGCGCTTTGTCCAAAAGGGTGAACGGCAGGTAATACGTGAAGCAATAGTAAGTTTGAACCATTGCGGTCACAGAGAGTAACAGCGGCAGCCTGACGGGGAGATCTCTGGTGAGGCAAATGATCATCTGGACCGACACCAAGAATCCGAATGTGTTGCCGCTCAAGAAGGCGATGTACGCGAAGTCCCTGCCAAGAGGACCAGTTATCCAAGATGCATAGTATCCCAGGAAGCCTTTTGTGGATTTATTATCGATTTTTGTAATAAAGCTTGGAGGCTGAAGCACGGCTTGGTAGGTGGTGCTAGCGATGAGCGCGGCGACTACCAGGAGGGCGTTGCGTATGTTGCCCATTGACTCTTTCTCTTTTTTCAAATTTTTCGATGGCAAACGTGATGGTGATTGCGGAGCGATCGTTGCTGGTTCCGCATCTGATTGATGACTGTTAGCTCCCTGGATGTCGTCGTCGTCGGTCGACCGAGACTAGTGACGACGCGGGCGTGTTTGATCGTCCTCTACAGTGTTTGGCTCCAGCCCGTGCGAGATTTTTTCTTATCTCTCGATCTCCTGCTCCCCTTTGCGAGAGAACATCTAGAGGCGTTAAGCCACTTCGTTCGAGGTGCACACATCTACGACCTCGCCATCCATAGCATGCCCCGCGAAGCTTGAAGTCAACCCACCTGCAATTTTTTGCCATCTTTGTTTGGTTCAAATTGATTTTTGGATAATACAGAAAATCTTTTTGCATATTGTAGGGATGCCAAATTCCTTTTGCTTAGAAGAATTTTGCATATTGTAGAGATGCCAAATTAACACCCTCACTGAAATGATGCACCGAGAAAATTGCGACAGAACAACAGGGAACCTGCAACGAGACGCAAGCCGGTATTGCCTTTTGTTGTCCTTCCGATCGATCACCTGCTCCTTCTTGTGCTGCTTCAGATGCTCCACCAACACAACAACCCCGTCAAACCAGTTGTTCTTCACGGCGAGGTGAAGCGCCGCCGTCTCCTCAGGGCTGTTGTCTCTTCGACGGACTCAGGCAAAGCAGAGCACAGCACCTTCACGACATCGAGCTCCCCTTTATTTCTCAGACCGAACGTGTGGACCCACACTTAAAGAGCTCCTTCGCTGTAATAACCGAGAGAGAGTGGGGGACAGGTGGGACATAGGGAAGAAAAAGATGGCAAAGAGAATTACGAAAAATTTTAAATTGATATATTTATAATAAATTTATTATAAATTATTTTTTTGATAATAAAAAATTTCAAAATTGATATATCTATAATAATTTATCATGAATTATTTTTTTGATCATAAAAAATCCGACATTGATATACCTGTGATAATTTTATCTTCGAACTAATTTTTTAACCACAAAAAATTTCAAATTGGTACACTTATGATAAATTTACTCTTCGTTAGTTTTCATTAAATTTTACTGTCAAATTGTTAAGTGTACAAGTTTTAGGTTTTACCCCTTTGTTTGTTGCAAGTTTATCAATTTGTGGTTCTTCGTGATATTAATCCAATTTAACAGACATTAATAGGGGGTAAATTTGTCACAAATGTACAATTTTTGGGATTTTAGTAGTAAAAAAATTAGTTCGGGGTAAAATTGTCACATGTGTATCAATTTTGGGTTTTTAGTTGTCAAAAAATTAGTTCGAGGTAAAATTATCACAAGTGTACTAGTTTGGGATTTTTGGTGATCAAAAAAATAGTTCGGGATAAATTTGTCAGAGATATATCAATTTGAGATTTTTTGTGATAAAAAAATAATTCGGGATAAAATTATCATAAATGTATTAATTTTGAAATTTTCGTGATATTAATAAAAAAAAAAGGGAGAAAGAGAGGGAGTAGAAAACAAAGATGGTTTAGACAAAAAAAAAAGAAAAGAAAACAAAGAAGGCGAGTGTAAAACCAAGAGGAGAGAGAGAAGAGGATAAGAGAGAGAGACGGTTGCGAAACAGAGACGAAAAAACATACAGAGGAAGCTACGTGCGCAACATCTCGTGAGCGGAGAAAATATCGGGTACCTTAGTGTATACACGTCAGCAAAATATTAATCCCATTTATCGTGCGACACGTGTCTCTTGTGGGCCCACCTGTCAGATCTCTCCCTCCCTCTGTCTCTCTCCTCTCTCTGCTGATTCGCGACATGGCTCGCTTTCGGCATATTTGTTTTCATTTCTTTCGCTTTGGCTTGTGGCCTCTGGCCGGCGACTGGCCACAGGCGAGGTTGTCGCAGCCCTCGCCGGCCCTCGCTTTCCCGATTCGGTGAGGGCTCGATCCTCACCGCCAGGGTGAGGGTCGCCCTCGCGGCATTTGGCGAGGGCCGGACCCTCGCTGTCTGGGCAAGGGTTCGCTAGATCCGGTATCTGTGGAGGGAGGCGATGACATCGAAGCCGCAAGGGACCTCGAGAATGCAAGGGATGTGGGAGGGCTGTCTCGGGCGATGACGACGGGGGATTGGGTATGTTCTTGGACCCAGGGGGCGGCGAACGAGGCGGAGTCCACGAAGTCGTCGCCGTAGCAGCAGCCATCGTTGGGATCGCCGTTGTGGGAATCCAGGAGGTTGTCAGAGAAGATGAGAGGCAGATGGAGGTTGAGCGAGAGTTGCAGAAAGAGAGAACGAAAGGGGGCAAGACACAGTGAAGAAGATGAGAAACAGAGGAGAGAGGAGAGAGACAACGGGAGAAAGAGAGAGAGATCTGACGGGTGGGCCCGCAAAAGACACGTTAATTGATGTGGATTTTTTTTTTTTGGTCGAAATTGACCTGGACTTAGCGAAGTGCTGAGTCTTCGTCTTCGTCCGAGTCTCTGTCTTCTTGACATTATTAGGGTTCTTTCTCTACGCGTGCTTATTCGTTGCCTTCCGGGCAATTGCCCTTTCGGACCACTGCAATAGTAGTCTGTCGGAAAGCAAGGACAAGAAAAAAGAAAAGCAGGCAATAGCTCGTCAACTAGTCAACACACGAAATGGTTTAGAGGTTTCCCAGGGGAAAAAAGAGTAAAGTCGAAATGCGTAGGTCACAAGAAGGAAAGTTCGAGGAAAGCTCGTCGTTACTTCTAAATTTCTTCTCATTTGACTAGAACAGTAGGATCAGAAGTAGCCTTCAGTGTTTTCAGGAGTCAACCTCATAGCTGACGCGAGTGTGAAAGAGATCAGATCGGTATGGCATTTATAAGGGCTCAAATCAACACTTTCGGTGCACCAAGCACATCTAGGATGGATCTCTTAGGTTGAGAGAGAGAGAGAGAGAGGAGTAACATGTTAACTTGGGACTAATTCACCAGACGCCGGAGGTTGTTGATTTCCTTGCCAAATATATCTTAGGATTCTTCCTGACAACCATGCTTTCCATATTTGAACATAGGAGCATAACAGTTTTTGAGTTACCGTTAGAATAATAGTATATTATGAGTAACAGATTTTTAAAATTATTTATTATTTTTTTATGGCCCAAAATAAATTACTATGCTCACAATACGTTATTCTCACGGTATGTTAAGGACAGTCGTATAAGCATTTTATCTGAAAACGTTCGATGAAGTGCCTTTAACGACTCCCAAAGCGAGCTAAACAGTGACCGCGAGTCCCTGGTAATTTCCCTCACATTGTCCAAGCACGGGTCCCCAGAAGTCCAGCACTCTTGGTCCCGGGGCTTTCTCTCACTCGCACTTTCTTTCACTCTGCCTCTGTGAGAGAAAGCGCAAGAGCGAGCGATGGATAAGAGTGCGATGGCTTTGGCAGGGATACTGGTTCTTGTGATTTTGACTCTCCCACTCAGTCCGAGTTGGTTCATGGTGTTTCCAGTTCTGATCGGAATGATTGCTTTTTCATGGGATAGAAGAAGAAGAAGAAGGTCGACAGAAGACCAAGGTCTTCCACTTCATACTCGGCCTCCTGCACGTGATGATGAGCCTCCTGCCGGTGATGCTTCGCTTCCTCCAGATGATGAGGCGCCTCCTGCAGATGATGAGGCGCCTCCTGCACGTGATGGTCAGCCTCCTGCAGGTGATGATCAGCCTTCGGCTCCAGCTTCTGATACTGCCAGTTGTGCTTCGCGTCCTCCAGGTCCGCTTCCTGCCGGTAGTGCTCCGCCTCCCAAGGTTGATGCTCTGGTTCTTCCTGGAAAGGAGATAAGCGAGCCGGTTAGTTTTCTCTGCATCTTTGGGATTTGTATTGTTACTTCAAACTTCCTCGACATTAATTCGGTGGAATCAGTCCTCCTGCTTGCAATTCAACCCAGCAAATGCTAAAAATTGTCTACAATGCTACAAATCTTCTTTGGCATGAACGATCGAACCCCTGAATTTAGAAAACCAGGAGATCCTATCCAAACTCCAAGCACTACTGATATTGTACGCTAGGCTTGTTTAGTACTTTTGCTTTCTCCTAAAATTTAAAACATTATTTAAATTTCGAAAGTGTTGCGAAATAAAGTACGTGTGAATTCATGTATTGACATTTGAGTGCTATGAGAGTTATGAGTATTTTTAATTATTTAAAGAAGTCAAAAAAAGCAAGTCGCAAGATTCAGGTGCAGTGCAATTGCTGTTTAAGGTTCGCCTCCATCAGACTATTATAAGACTAATATTTTTTTTCCCTTTTGTTTGGCTAGAAGCATAAGACTTGGTCTGGAAAACTATGTTTACCATGCGAAGTGGTTTATTTTCCTTGATTTGACAGGAATCATCTTCAACCCCATCGTCATCGTCTGGATTCGAGCATGACCTATTCTTGAATTGTGGAGAATTAGAAATTGACAGTCCATTCATGGCTCACCTTAACCGCGCACTGGAAAATGCATGGATCAGGGTCTTCAGAGGCGATGATGTAGAACGAGAACCCCTTTGGGGAGGAGAGTTCTGGTCACAGGTAGAAAGGATGGACAGGTGGTTGAAGCGAAGAGAACTGATCAAGCGGTCAAGGATCTCGATAGCCATCCTCTCCGAATATTATGCTAACAGTGAACGGTGCCTGAATGAGCTGGTCCAAATGTGGGAGTGCAGAGAATCAAATGGACAGATTGTTATCCCGATTTTCTATGATGTTAGTCCCTCGGATGTGATACACCAGGCTGGGGATTTTGGAAGGCGTTTCGATCTACATGAGACTGCCAAAGTCGACTCAGATACCATCAAAAAATGGAGGGACGTTCTCCGACAGATCGGGCGGTTAAGAGGATTTATTCGGGAGAACGTAAATGGGTGGGTCATGCTTTTCCTTCTGGTTTCCCTTTTCTTTCCTAGATAAATGGAAAAAAAAAAAAGTGTAGGATGATGTGAAAATGAACCTAAACCTTTTTGAATAAATATACATGTAATCATATCGATAATGATCGAAAATTTAACAGTGCATAAGAATAGACCCGGTGGGTTGATTTAATTTTTGTCGGTCCATTCCCCACTTTCATTTTTGCCTACTTCTTAATATTTTTGGTGACTTTTCTTGTTATCCTCGTGCTTCATCACTTACGTTTTGCAGGCACGACAGCCAGCTCGTCAAAATAGTTGTTAAAAGCGTGGAGCAAGTGTTGAGGAAGGATGACCAAGTTGTAACCGACAGACTAGTTGGAATTGATCATCATGTTCAAGAGATGATGAAAAAGCTTGGTGTTGCCTACAGAGAGGGACAAGCGGTCGAAGTACAAGGAGAAGAGGTACGCGTCGTCATAATAGAGGGTGCACCGGGTGTCGGAAAGACTACACTCGCAAAGGTTGTCTTTAACAAGATGCGTAAGTTGTTTGATGCATATAGCTTTCTTGAAGATATTAGGTCGGAAGGAGTCCAGTTTTCACGACATATGTTGATCGCTGACCTTCAGAAACAAAAACCCGAACCACTTGAGTCTTCCGGTGAAGAAATAGCAAATTTATGTCGTAATGTGAGGGTTCTCATTGTGCTTGATGGTGTGGACGAGGATGAACAAATTAAAGAATTAGTTGGGAAGTTTACTTCGTTTGGTCCGGGAAGTAGAATCATTGTGACAACGGACAAAAGAAATGTTTCAGAGGCTTTCGACGTTGGAGCATTTGATCGTCGGACAGTTGAACTACACAAGGTTGGACCAATGAGTGAAAAGAATGCTCTAGACCTCTTTCATAAGCATGCTTTTCAAGGGGCTGCTGCCGAAGATGTCTCTGAGTATGATTCCTTATCCAGAGACATTGTCAAAGCTATTGGAGGGCTTCCTTCGGAGATTGTGCATCATGCTTCAAATTTGCGCCGCAATATGAATATGGATACATGGAAAACTACCTTGGATTTATTGCGAAAGAAACCCAAAAAATAGGCAAAGCTACCTTTCAAGTCAGTCATGCAGGAGGATCAGAGCTTGGAAATTTCCATTGAAGACAATTGACTCACAGCCCATTTGTTAATTATGCAAGCAAACGGAGTAGATTTCGGCCCATCCAAGGAGGCATAGCGTGATCCAACGGATCCAATGCGGAGGAGGAAGCCCTGCACTTCTTGGAGTTTGAATGCATTGCACGAATCTTGATGCGATGCGAGGCTGGAGGTTTGAATTTTAAGTTTTCACGTGTTTTGAATTTCCTATGTCTTTAACGCGTCTAGTTTCCAGGTGTTTCAAATTTTCTGTGATTTTTAATGTTTACTAGTTATCACAATATATCTGTGGCACACATTCTCCATCGCAAGAATTTAGATTTGAGTTTGCTAATATATGGAATTTATTTTTCAAGTGAAGTGAGTGAATCCTTCAATTCGGTTCTTTATCTAATTTTTTGATGGCGAAAAGCTCTTTTATGCTTTATCGGTGTACTCCATCTATCCCTAAGTTGCACTCCTTTATGCTTTAGTGGTGTACTCCATCTATCCCTAAGTTGCTTTCTGTCACGCACTTTTAGCCTCTTCTTAGTCTCACCGTGCGTCAGTTACATATCTATAGATGTTCATACGTAGCATTGACATATTGTAAAGGGAAATGAGTGTGATTGATTTAAGTAAAACAACTCCAAAAAAAAAGTCTAAGGCTCTATTCGTTTCACTAAAATAACTTCCGGAAAATGTTTTCGAGTTTTCCGCATTCGTTTCTAGAAAATAAACTAACCATGGAAAACATTTTCCCTTAATGGACAAAACACCTTCAAAAGTGAGGAAAATATTTTCTCTTTTTGAAAAGAGGAAAACATTTTCTCTTTTCCTTCTTTTACCATTCATTTTAATTATTTTAATTTTCTTTTTTTAAAAATTATAATTTTTAATTGTTTTTTTTTAATTGTTTTATTTTTCTCTTTTTTTTTTTTGGATCTTCTACTCCGGCCGGCGACAGGCGAGCTCGAGCGTTGGTAAATTCTCATTCTTGGAAGTTGGACGTCTATGGGAGGAACTTCTCATTTGGTTAAAGTCTCTCTTTGGTTCCCTCGGTTGCTTCTTCATTCCCCTCCTCCATTACCAACATGTATACCATCATATACATGTTACTATGAAAAAAACAGAAGACACTAATAATGCTATAACTTTCATATCGGCATTCACCTAACTCTTTAAACAATCACTTAAATGTCATAACTTTTGAAAAAAATGTTCACTTGAGTGATATCAACAATTTCTATTTCTTGCATTCGTATTATTATTTAATATTAATTATCTGGCGTGACTTGCAATAATAAAATTGCACGTCAATGAGAAGTTGCTTTTGAAATTTGCAATAGAGGGCATGATTAGGAGAAGAGGCTCACAATTGTCTCCGCATTTTTCGAATCGGTCCCCACAGCCACATCAAGTAGAATAACAATTACTGATTTTGTAGGTGGGTGAACAAAATACAATATTTTACCATTCAAAACACAATAAATCATTGACCTTTTCTCTGTTGCAATATTCCTCCCTTGTCCTCTAAGCCTTAATTTTTTCCCTCTAAGCTGTAGGTTTTTTTCCCTTCAATGTTTGTGTGGAGAGAGAGAACGAGAGTACTGTAACCACCTATCCTCCATTAATTCTTCTATGCTTCGTCATTTATAACGTTTTTTTTTTAAATTATAATACTTAAGTAATCACTTGAGAAGTTATGACACCAAAATGAGGATAGTACGAAAGTTACTGCACAATTAGTGTTCTTTTCCCCGTGTAATTATATGTGTTGTTGCCAATTGTGGATTAATCCAGAAAAAATCTTCAAAAATTAGGGAAAAAACACAGAAGCATAACTCTTGGCCAACTCAGCAATATTAGCTCCTTAAGAACAAAAATGACTGGAATTATTACAAAATTACTCGTATTATGATTAGCTCACAAGCCTCCATATCCATTAGCTCTATATATATCGGTAGTAAAAAACCGGCGCTTTATGCGGAATTAGATGATGCTTATTTTCATAATTTTGTTATGAAATGCTTACAATAGCTTAATCAATGGCACATCTAAAACGGCAAAAGAAGATGTTATAATCACAAAAAAATAAAAATAACCAGTGATAATCCTGTCAACCTTTTCGATCTGACCTTATCAAAATCGTTCCTGTTCAAAGTAATATGAAACAGATAATAAACAAAAAAGATTGTATTTCAAATAACTATGATATTTTTACCACGTTCTCATTTGGCAGCATCAAGAACCAGGTTCTGCTTTTATCGGCTTGCCGTAGTTTCCGAAACTTCGGGATACAGCTGCATCAGATAATGTATCCCACACCTACAGATTCCCAACCATATAGGAGTCATAAACATAAATCATGACTGGAAAATTGCAAGAAGGTGCAGTTTTGAATGAGAAGATGGCGAAGGTTTCCACTTACTTCAAAGTCTCCCCTTTGAACCTCCAATAACAGCAAGTAAAAAGGGACCCTCTTCCAAGAAGAGAACAGAAAAGACAGCACCATCAAACAATGACAAAGCTTAGTATTCCGATTATCTACAACAGTAAACAGTTGCAGAAGAAAAATAATCATGCAGAACAAAGGAATATTCATGAGAGTCGGACTTTTATAACAGCTAATTCCTAACCTGCGTCGTTGATGTATTCTATTCAGTGACACAAAGGAATTAATTTATTCAATAAAAAATCCTTGCTTGAAAACTTTTGCAATTCCACAAAAAAAAAAAAAATCATCTATAAGGTTGTTGGACTTAATTTGCGGATACTAATTAACCACCGGGGGGTTCGCCCCAATGGCTACCCTTCATACTTGGAAATGGGAAAGTTGGATGTCACGCCCCGAACCTCATCGGGCACGCGACACCCTTACCTGGTCGATTTATGCGACGTCCCAGGAATGTCGCCGACCTCAAATCGCCATCAGAGATTTACAACCACAGCGGATACTAACAATTAATCCCGGACAATTTTAAAACTAGGGAGAATAGGGAGAATGTACACTTTCATTTCCCATTGCCAAACTCATAGAATATTTACAGATTACAACTTCCACATGCACCGGCACACCGAATTAAAACCACAAGTACACAAAAAGATCAATGACCTGGTATTCTGATTTCCAAAAATGGTACCCATCCAAAACTTAACTTGAACCCTTAAACCGACTCCTAACGCCCCTTGCTCCTGTGTCCATTCCGAGTCCGACTCGCGTCGCCCTGATCCGAACTCTCTCCCGAGCAACTTGCTCCTCCGAGGACTCGGCTGTTTCGATCACAATCGGGTGATTAATGTCGCCCGACTCACCTGAGCTGCATTCTCGATACTCCTCACCGTAAAATCGAAGAAATTATACTCGTGCACGTAATTGGGATCCATGTATTCCTCAAAAGGGAGTATATACTCCGGGTCTCCTACCGGCTCTTCAGACTCGCCAGGTTCGTCCTCGGGTTCCACTTCGGGTTCTACCTCAGCCTCCGCTTCCTCTGGTTCTTCCTCGGGGATCGGTTCTAGATCTATGTCCATCGGGTCATCTTCGGCTTGCGATGCCTCGGGCTCGGGTTCATGCTCCGCCTCCGAAGATCCCAGAGCGGTGGGTGCCGGATGCATCCTGCATCGCGCTACGCTAACCTCCTCGTGACCGGCTCGCCTCTCCATCAATCGGGGTACACGGCCGGGTCCCAATCCCCAACTAAATCAAAGGAACATCGAAACCCCTAACGGGCCCGAACTCGTCCCCGGCTTGATCCCGAAAGAACCAGGCAGTGTACTTCTGTTCCTCCCACAGGGGCAAACCTTTATCTACGAAAACGGTAGTAGTGTGCCTAATCTAGGTCATTCCATCTCCCATTGGAAACTCTGCAACGTCCAACTCGGAGTGTACTGGTACCCCAAAATGCTCTGGTGGCTGCGGTGGAGGATTCATGGTTCCTGTCGGGGTTAAAAATGTTGGTTGAAACAACCATGAGAACACTTCTTAGCAAGTTCACCCCTAAACCCCACTGCAGCTATCACGTACCTCCGACAATCACCCAAACACGCAATCACACACATACCATTGTCACACAGCAGGCACATCAACACAATCACAAGCACACACAATTCTCATGTCATACACTCGTCCGTCTCATCATATCTCATCCACATTCCTCGCCAGGTGACCGCGTACACGTACACGCCTCGGGTACACTGCGACCTCTTTCCACAACACTTCCGGGCCCGCGTAAACGTACACGCCTCAGGCCATGTTTCTTGCCTCGCGTAAACGTATACGCCTCATGCTCAACATCTACCACCTACTGCGCAACCCGCGTTGAAGTACACGCTTCAGGCTGGCAATCTTCCGGTAATATCGGGTATCGTCCCGCGTAAACGTACACGCCTCAGGACGGCACAATTTCCACAACACATGTCATGCCACACTTCTTTCTCACTCAGGCACATGCTCAACATGCATTTAACATACATAACTGGCCAATCACACGTGGCCGGTGCACGCACCAATTACACACAATCCATGCTCACGCAGCATTTGACACGGCCAATTTTAATAAATAAAACAATCTGGCCCAAGCATGCACCCAACAAACATAATTAACTCAACCAATTGCACAATCACACATTTAATTTCACCACCACAGTCTAATTATTTCCAAACGCACGTAAAACACAGAAATCGTTATTGTTCTCCCACCAAACGACGCCAAATCGATTCCGGTCCTTCACGGGACTTTCTCACCATAAATTCTCGGTTCTAAAAATCCAACTTGCGTCTCGATCGGCCCATCACGGCCCCATGAACAGTAGACCACAACCACTGTTATCCTCTAATTTCCAATAAAAATTGCCCGAATTAAATCCTAAGGCCCGCCATAAAATTTCTACTCCTAATTCATGCAATTCCGTACCTAACTTTTCACAGTATTTCGCCCAAAATCGCCCGTCGATACCCGAAGTCCTAAGTTGGGTTTAGAGCGCGACTTACCCGCTGTTCTAGACTATCGCGGCTAGAACGGAAAGCGGCCGGCTCAATCGGAACGGCGGCGACGAAGCACGGCTCCGGGTGGCGGCGATCGGCTTGGGTGGCGACGGCGCGGCTTGGGCGGTGGCCGGTGGGGCTCACGGCCAAGGAGAGAAGAGATCGGGAGAGAGAGAAAACGGCGGGATGGGCCGAGGTGTGGTGCGGTTCGGCGAGCGAACGGCGGCGGCTTGCGGGCGTGACCGGCGATCGGCGGTCCGGCGGCGACGCGAAACGGGAAGGGAGAGAGAGAGTATACGATGGGGGGGGGGGGGCTTCACGGCCAAAAGGGGGGGGGGGGGTGGAATTCACGATGGAGAGGGAGGTGGAATTCACGATGGAGAGGGAGAGAAAATGGAAGAGAGAGAAAGGATCTTCTTGACCTAAATAGTGCAATTGACCCCATTTTGGCAATTTACCAAATTGCCCCTCTCTCACATTTTTATCCGACGGTCCAGATTCGATCTAATATTGAAATCAACGGCCCAGATCGAATCTTGCCAAAAATATCCAAGGGTATACTTGTAATTTCTCAAAAAGTCCAAGGGCAAAATTGTCCAATAAAAAAGTTAGGGCAAAATGACCAAAATGCCCTTTACCCATAAAACATGCCCTTTGATAATTCTCAAGGGTAAAATGGTCCGATTCTCCGTTTCTCATCAAAATCAAGTTTTTCTAAAGGATTCGGGCGCAACAAAAATTGCACGTTACAACCGCAACGTCGTCCTAACGTCCCGTTGTGACTTCCAAATTTTCCGGCGTCCGATTTGGGCTAAATTAAATAATTAAATTCTATTAAACGTAACTCAAGCGTTTCTCAAACTAACGGGCGGCTTGTTGGGGAAATTCGCTTATACAACCCGTGACTGACACTAAATCGAGTCACGTGCAATTTATTCAGACCGTACTGACTTCGGTTGTCAATAAAATCGCGAGGATCAATTACTAGATCCGTGAGGCACGATCGTTCGGTATAGGTTCAGGATCGTTCGTCAATTCATTTCGTGGTCCAGCGGTATCACCCGCGATCCACTACTGTGACAGTGGCGAACTAACCCCTGACTATCCTTAGATCGGCCAACAGTGGCTCAAAATATCACCTCGACGATTTAATGGTCGAAAGTCAATCCACGATCGAATTTTCTTTAGTCGTACGAATTTAATTCCCCGATTAGCCTTTCCCTAATGGTTAGCATCCCAGGAATGATCAGTTCCGGGCGAGAACTAACTACGAGTACATTCGTAAAATTCAGTATTTTATAAATCCCAAATGGACTATTTTTCAGGATGTCATATTGGAAGTTCGATTCCCTACCTTTTCAGGGGGGCTGGGGGCGGAGACGCTTTGCGAAGAGGTATGACAAAAGTCTAAAAGTGAATTGAGAGTTAAAGTATGATAGACCAAAAAAAAAATTTGCGGATACTACAATTACAAAAAAAAAAAACCTTTTTACTTCTTTAATGTAGAAAACCAAAAAAAAGAAATGTAGAAAACCGAGTGTTCATAGTCAAGGAACGAAACTTTCTATGTGAATTAGGTCCATGGTACATATTTGATTATTTACACCATCAAATGTCACAAATGTTAGATCCTTTAATATGATTTTGAATCTATATTACATTATTAATGAGGTTAGCTCGGCTATTTAATAAAAATGTGATTGATGGTAACCTAATTTCATTGTTAACTGTGAAAATAATTCATCATCATTCGATGTTGAAACAATCGTATCTACCTAAATAATTAAAAACAGTCATTGATTACCTCAATGTTATTTAAGTGAGGGGATTTTTTCTTGACTTTAAGTGAAAATTTGAATTTCTTTGTATTTTTTGACTTTATTGTAATGTGGATCACCTAATGCGTTTATTGAAAAGTCATCGATTACCTAACGCGTTTTTCATGTAGTGTCTCTTTTGTTTTTCTCTTCCTTCCCTCCACCATAACTATGCGGCTAATACTTGCTTGAGCAAGATGTATGAAACCGGATTGGAAGGCAGCGACATTAGACCACCAACTAGTGCAAAAGAGCGCAAGAAGTGGAAAGCGAAAGCACACAAGGCCATGTAGGATTGAAACAACATTTCTTAGAGGTGGAAGATCTTTACGGAGAAATCATGGATATGGATCCTGGAGATCCTATCACAACAAGAAGGACGAGGATCTTAGCTCACGATCTAAGACCTGGATATAATGGTGTTATCACGGCTTTGGCATCGCCCATGGGTCACGATCATTGCTCGCTTCTCCCCAACCTTCGATGTTCAAATGGCTTGCGACACAGCCAACGTGCGATAGTGTGTGCCTGGCTCCTTGGAGAGCCGTCTCCTCTAGGATGAGTGAGTGGATTGTTCCTGATCAAGTCATTCAGTTCGTCGACATAGTGCCTCTGAGCTGCTTCTAACAATCTCGGGTCCGTTTCGAGTGAACATATCTGACCTGCCAATTAGAACGAATACTGACGAATGTGCACAACATAGTGCAGGCCCTCAGCCAAGCGTGAATCGTGGTTTTATTTGTTGGAAATTGCTTGATCATGGGAACTTTAAAATTACAACACCGAAGCCTAATCTGTTCTGGGGATTAGTCACAGATCTTTTGATTTTATCTCTAATATTCTTCACCTCATAACATGCCAATAACTGGAACGAAGAAAAGAGATTGTCCATATATCCGGAAATAAACGATTGATCTCTGCTAAAAGACATGCTAAAGCCCCAAATTGTAGAGTGCTTGGCACCGGTCCCATGAAAAGATACGTTTTTACACATAATTTCTAATTCCAATTGAAATTGTATGCCGAGTCGGTAGATAATATTTTCCCGTTCTAAAAACCAAAAAAGGCGTCCCTTCCCCTCGAACATTCCCCAAAAAATTCCTTAATTTATTTACCTTTAACGATGGTTTTCATATTCATGTGTATATAAGTCTTCTATTATTATTGTATGATATATGAGACCAAATCGAAAGATTACTCTTAAATTGGGGTATTCTAGAATTAGATCTCAACCTTCTCAAGAAGTTACCCTTCTATTATCGGCCTAAAACCGCCTGTGTTATGCAGTAATGATCTTTCGATTTCTTTTGAATTTTTATCGGCACCATTCAATTCGATCCGAAAAACTTTGCTTATACTGCGCTTTTCTTCCGACTCCATGTTCACGGCTTGTCTCATATCCATCCCCATTAGTTTAGTGAGTGCTCATAGGTATTAACATTAATTCTCCCACCTGTTCTCACAGACAAATTCTCAACCTCACAAAGATGTTCTCTTGATGGACTATTCATCTGAAGAAGTAAGGACCAAATGAGTTCTTAGAAAAAACTTGCGCAACATCATCTCGGAATCTCGATTGCTGTCGGTGAAGTTACAAACGTGCTATAAACTCGGGGCACATTTTAATAGTAAAATACGATACAGTGAATCGCTCACAGACTCAAAACAATCAACTTCGGAGTATCGAGGACATTAACTGAGAACACATATTATAAGGAAATTACGATACAGTGAATCCCTCGGGTACATTACACAATCAACTGCAGAGAATTAAGGACAGGAAATCAATATCTGACCTTGTCACACAAACTCCATCCAATACTGCTAAAGGCTTGCATTTCTTAGCTCAACCGCAAGGAAAGAGATATACCATCATTAACAATGACGAATTAGGTCTTTAGACGGTACATATCCCCTAGGAGGTTAAACAGAGAAAGCCTTTCCAAGTAGAAATTTAAAGCTTGCGCCAATCGCCTCTGTATCAATAGAAGAAGAACTGATGTCGTTAGCGGCAGCGCACTCAACAATTCCACGTTTTGCAGACCCAACGCTTTGTCAAGTAACGTGAACAGCAGGTAATACGTGACGCAATAGTAAGTTTGAACCATTGCGGCCACGGAGAGTAACAGCGGCAGCCTAACAGGGAGATCTCTGGTGAGGCAAATGATCATCTGGACCGACACCAAGAACCCGAATGTGTTGCCTCTCATGAAGACGATGTACGCGAAGTCCCTGCCAAGAGGACCAGCTATCCAAGATGCATAGTATCCCTGGAAGCCTTTCGTGGAATTTTTATTGACTTTTGTAATAAAGCTTGGTGGCTGAAGCACGGCTTGGTAGGTGGTGCCAGCGATAAGCGCGGCGATAACCAGCAGGGCGTTGCGTATGTTGCCCATTGACGCTTTTTGTTTTTTCAAATTTTTCGATGGCAAACGTGATGATGATTGAGGAGCATTCGTTGCTCGTTCCCCATCTGATTGATGACTGTTAGCTCCCTTGATGTCGTTGTCGTCCACCGAGACTTGATGAAGCGGGCGTGTTTGATCTTCCTCTTCCATGTTTGGCTCCAGTTTGTGCGTGAATTTCTCTCATCTCCCTATCTCCTTCTCCGCTTTACCAGAGGAATGAGACATCTAGAGGCGTCAAATCTCTTCGTTCGAGGCGCACACATCTACGACCTCGCAATCCATAGCATGCCCACGAAGCATGAAGTCAACCGCCAACAATTTTTTTCCATCTTTGTTTTGCACTCATTGATTTTCAAATATTTAGATAATGCAGATTTTTTTTTTTTGCATATTGTAGGGATGCCAAATTCCTAAGAAGAATATTGCATGTTCTAGTGATACCAAACTAACACCCTCAATGAAATGATGCGCCAAGAAAAGGAAGATAAAAAAAGGGGAACCTGCAGCGAGATGCAAGACGGTGTTGCCTTTGTTGTCCTTCCGATTGATCACCTGCTCCTTCTTGTGATGCTTCAGAAGCTCCACCAACAAAACGACCGCGTCAAACCAGTACTACTTCACGGCGAGGTGAAGCGCCGTCTCCTCTCAGGCGGTTGTCTCTTCGACGGACTCAGGCGAAGCGGAGAGCAGTACCTTCATGACTGGAGCTCCCCGTTCACGACGGCATAATGCAAAGGGACTCTCCTCTCCCTTCCCTTCACAAAGTATAGGTGTGGACCCCCACATTCAAAGAGCTCCCTCGCTGTAATAACTGAGACAGAGAGAGAGAGTGGGAGACCAGGAGGGAAAAGAAGAAGAAAAGAGGGAAAAGAGGGAAGAAAAGGAGAGAGAGAGGGAAGTAGAGTCGCGAGGGTGGAAGAGAGAGGGAGAAGAAAAGAAAGGGGAGAACAAGGGAGGAGAAAAGGACAGGGAAATAATAGAGGAGAGAGAGAGAAAGAGAGTCTTGTAAAAAGAGAGGAAACGAGAGTACGAACGCTACGTGCGCGTTCCAAACGTTGAGTTCGTCGGCTCAAGGGAGCTTTCGTTATTTGGTTTGGCATTTTTGAGTGAGTAATATGTATCTTTTCTTTGAATTTATAAACTCATGATAATGTTAGAGATGAGTTATGAAAAGGATGGCACGCCAAAATATTTATAACGGCGAATACTACAAAAAAAAACTCGGATTACGCCCACCATGACACAAATACCCCAAACTCTTTTATGTTGCCAAAAACTTTAAACTTGTCCATCGTGACACAAATAAAAACCCAAACTTATGTCACACCCTCTATTTTAGTTTCATCCAGGATATATATGTCACGATGATATGTGTTCGGGGTATTTGAATCACAATTGGAAAGATTAGGATTTTTAGTTCCATTAAGGATATTTGCATCATAATAGGTATAATTTGAGGTTTTTTGTGGTATTAACCATATTTATAAAAAAAAGTGATGTTCAAAGTATATTTGTTATATAAAATCTGAATCAGACATTTACTACCTTTGTTATTATTTTTAAATCACATGGTAAAGCATTTCTCAAAGTAGTTTATGAGTTGATTATTTGGGAAGATGATTTGAGAAATGTTTTATGAAAGTGACTGCAAAAAGGCTATATGTATTGCTTTGTGAACTTGGTTTATGAAATGTATTTTGTTGGGAAACCAATTTATGATATGGATTCTAAATTGGTTTTGTAGATTATTGAAAAATAAGGTTATTGGTTTGATACTCGTTATCGCCGCGAACCTGGTGAGGGTTTCTAAGTTTGTATATTGGTTTCACGATATTTTGGGCCGAGCAACTGACAATATAGGTGGAGAGACCTAACCAAGGAGATAAATCTTGATTGCCTTATCACGAAATGTTATGTTGTGATCATGGTTGGATATTGAGCATAAGATTGGTTAGTGGAATGTACTATTGATATGTGATTGAATACATTCAATGGAAGGGGCCATTGATGCGTGGTTTGAGCAAGAGATTGATCAACTAAATGATCTATTGATGTATGATTTGAGATTGATCAATAAATTGGATCATTTATGTTCTTTTTGATAAGGATAATTAAATGGGTATGACCGCATTTTACGGTTCACTTTAACAGTATTTCACTATTCACGTTGGTTGTATTGCACCGCTCACTATGACTGTATTTCACTGTCATTATGATAGAATATGTGTAAAATTGTATTGAAAAGAAATAACTCAAGTTTGAAATTGTATGGGATTATTAAGTTTATGGTATTGCTTTGGTAAATATGCATAGTGGATGCTTATTCTGCTTAGAAGAGATATGCACTATTTACTGAGTGTCATTCATCTCATATCTTTTTTAGGTTTTTTAGCTGGTAGCAAGTAAGACGAGAGCGTTATTAGCGGGAACTTTTTTTATGATTAGATTTGTGTATGAGTTGAGACGGTTGGATATGTTAGGCATAGTAATTGTTAATTTTTTTTTTTCGTCAAAGTAATTGTTAAGGTTTAAATAGTTGAATTCGATGAGGTATAAATATCATAATTGGTGGATTTTAAAACTCTGATTCTGTAATCATCTCGCTGATTATCAAAGATATAAATGGATGTATATTTTGATACGAGGATTTCGTAACCAACTCGCAGTTTATGGTTGTTTCAATTGCTTTGGCCCTATACTTTGCCAAGTCTAATCTTGGTTCATTTTAATCACGGGTTGACCGGCGGGTTGGACTTCTGATCCCTGTTTTGCTTTTGGATTAGATTTCTGTCTTTTTCTCTCATTGACCAGCGAGTCGTTGCCTTCTTGGCATTAGCCATTTGAATGATCAGTCTTCCATTCACCGCTCCAAGCGGGCCTTTCCTCTTCGCTTCTAGGATTCTTCCCTTACGCGCGATTATTCGTTGCCTCCCAGGCATTATCGCGTTGCCCTTTAGGGAGAGAGAGAGAGAGAGAGAGAGAGAGAGAGAGAGAGTATAGAGTACAATATAGTCATGTGTAAAGTGCAATGTATCGTTGTTGTCTAATGCTTATAGACCTCCTCCTGGTGCCTCTGTGAGAGAGGAGAGCGCGAGAGCGAGCGATGGCTTCGAGGGCGAAGGCTTTGACGGCGACACTACTGGCCGTCGTGTTTCTGTCTCTCACGATGGCTCCGACTTGGTCCATGGCGTTTCTGATTTTGTTCGGAATGATTGCCCCTGCAGTTGTTGCTGCTGGAAAAAAGATGAGAAGAAACCCGGCTCTTGCAGCTGATGCTCCGGCTCTTGATGTTGATGCTCTGGCTCTTGATGTTGATGCTCTGGCTGTTGAAGTTGATGCTGCTGGAAAGATGAGAAGAAAGCCGGTTAGTTTTCTCTGCATCTTTGGGATTTGTGTTGTTTACTTCAAACTTCTTCTACATTAATGCGGTGGAATCGGTCCTCTCCTTGCAATTCGACCTAACAAATGCTAAAAATCCTCTACAATGTTACAAATCTTCTTTGACATGAACGATTGAACCACTGAATTTTGAAAATCATGAGATCCTATCCAAACTCCAAGCACTATTGATATTGTGCTCTAGGCTTGTTTAGTACTTTTGCCATCTCCTAAAATTTAAAATATTATTTAAATTTCGGAAGTATTATAAAAAATTATTACGTGCGAGAATTCATGTATCGACATTTGAGTGTTATGAATGTTTTGAGTATTTTGGATTTTATTTTTGTATTTTGGATTTAAATAAAATCAAAATGTGCAAGCTGCAAGATTCAGGTGCAGTCCACTTGCTGGGTAACGTTCGCCTCCATCGGAACCATAAGATTATGTTTTTCTTTTTTTTTTGGCAAGATGCATAGGACTTGGTCTGGAAATCTATGTTTACTATATGAAGCAGTTTAGTTTCCTTGATTCGACAGGAATCATCTTCGTCGTCGTCTGGAATCGAGTATGACTTATACTTGAGTTTTAGAGATACAGATGCCCACGAATTCGTGAGTCACCTTTACACTGAATTGGATAGAGCAGGGATAAGGGTCTTCATAGACAGCGAAGGACTCCGTAAAGGAGAAGAGATCGGGTTCAAGCTAAAAGAGGAGATCAAGCGGTCGAGGATCTGTATAGCCGTCCTCTCTCCAAATTTTGCTTCCAGTAAATTTTGCCTCGATGAGCTGTTACAAATGTGGGAGTTCAGAGAATTAAATGGACATACTATTATCCCTATTTTCTATGAAGTTAGTTCATCCGATGTAAAACACCAGGCTGGGGATTTTGGAAGGTCCTTCGATCGATATGAGAAACTGGGAGTCGACTTAAATACCATCGAAACATGGAGGAAGGTTCTTCGACAGATCGGGAGTATGAAGGCGTCATCGATTGCGGCGAAGCCAAATGGGTGGGTATTGGTTTTACTTCTGTTTCCCCTTTCTTTCCTAGATTGATGGGAAAAAAAAGTGTAGGATGATGTGAAAATGAACCCAAACCTTTTTGAACAAATATATTTGTAATCATATCGATAATGATCGAAAATTTAACTATCCATAAGAATAGACCGTGTGGGTTTGATTTAGTTTCTGTCGGTCCATTCCCCACTTTCATTTTTGTCTACTTTTTAAATATTTTTGGCGACTTTCTTGTCATCCTCGTGCTTCATCACCTGCGTTTTGCAGGGACGAGGGCCAGCTCGCAGAAGAAGTTGCACGTGTGGTGCACGTGTTGAAAAAGGGTGACCAAGTTATAACCGACAAACTAGTTGGGATTGATGATCATGTTGAAAAGATGATGAAGATCCTTGGTTTTGCCTACAGGAAGGGACAAGCGACCGAAGAACGTGGCGGAGACGTACGCATCCTCGGAATATGGGGTATGCCGGGTATTGGAAAGACTACACTTGCAAAGGTTGTCTTTAACAAGATGCGTAAGTTATTTGATGCAAGTAGCTTCCTTGAAGATATTAGCTTGGAAGGAGTCGAGTTTTCACGACGAAAGTTGATTGTTGACCTTCAAAAGCAAAAACCTGCGCCAGTTGAATCTTCCGGTGAAGGGATTGAAGAAATAGCAAGTCTATGTCGTAATGCGAAGGTTCTCATTGTGCTTGACAATATATGCGAGAGTCAACCAATTAAAGCATTAACTGGGAACCTTACTTGGTTGAGTCCGGGAAGTAGAATCATTGTGACGACGAACAAAAGAAATGTCTTAAACGCTTTGGCCTTTGGAGCACTTGATCGTTGGACAGTTTTTACATACGAGGTCGGAGACATGAGGGATGACCATGCTCATAAACTCTTTTGTAAGTATGCTTTTCGAGGGGCTGCTGCCCAAGATGTCTCCGAATATTTTGGCTTGTCCATGGACATTGCCAAAGCTATTGGAGGGCTTCCTTCATCCATTGTGGATCATGCTTCATCTTTACGCGACAATATGAATATACATACATGGAAGAGTACCTTGGGATTATTGAAAAAAAAAACCCAAAAAATATAGGCAAGCTGCCTTTCAAGTCAGTTATGCAGGAGGATCAGAGCTTGGAAATTCCGTTTAAGATTATCGACTCACAAGCCCAATTCAAGACTCACCAATTAACCAAAGCCCCTCTGTTAGTTAGGCAAGCAAACCGGAGTAGATTTTGGCCCATCCAAGGAGCACAGCCTGATCCAACAGGTCCAATGTGGAGGAAGAAGCCCTGGACTTTTGGAGTAAGAATGCATTGCACAAATCTTGAGACAATGCCAGGCTGGAGGGTTGAATCGTAAGTTTTCATGTGTTTTAAATTTCCGATGACTTTAATGTTTCCTAGTTACCGCTATAAATATGTGGCACATTCTCCATTGTAAGAATTCATATTGAGATTGATCATATATGAAATTTTTAGCTCAAGTGAGTGAATCCTTCAGTTCCGTTCTTTAGCTGGAATAATAATGAGAGACTCTTCTATGCTTTAGTGTTGTACTCCATCTATCCCTAAGTAAATTTCCAGTTTCCATCAAACGCTTTCAGCTTCTTCTGAGTCCCGCCGTGCCTGAGTTACAAATCTTTAGATGTACAAGCGTAGCATCAACACATTGAAAATGAAAATGAGGGTGATTGATTTAATTAAAACAACCAAGAAAAAAAAAGATCTAAGAGCAAAAAATTTTCTTAAAAAAGGAGATAGTGATCTGTAGGATTTTGAATATTACTGAAGGATAGTGAAAATACGGTAGATTTGTTCATGATTGAGGTATTTAAAGGTTCAGCTTATATTGACTTCTGTGTCCAGTTCACTACTACATCATTTGAAATGCGGCTTTAGCTATTAGCGAGAGGTTCTTGCGACTTGTGAGAAAAGTTTCTTTGCCTCGAGAAGTTTTCAATTCAGTAACATCATGATGGCACAAATTCTAGAATAGACTTCCTAACACTTTGGACTGCACAAATTGTAGGTTTTTTGTTTTTTCCAGTACAGCAGCATGAAATTTACTCCTTTGTTGAATATTCTTATTGCATATATTTCGCTTCAAGTACTTTATCAGGCTTAGTGTTTACACTTCCTTGAAGAGCAAGTTGTGGCTTAATCTTCTCCAACTGATAACGAGCAAAATTCCTTCCATTAAATCAAAGCTTCCTCTATTTGATAGCGATGACCTGGGAGCACACACAGGTTTACCAAAAGGTTCCTGGATTGCATTGCCATCAGGAGTAGTACAGGGCCTCGTTACATCTAATTTTATAAGTGCACTCCTTTCTCATTCTAGACATCGTATCATTCTTTTGACCTTTGGAAGCTTTTGAGGAGGAGATCTCTTCGGGTAACCATAAAGTACGCCATCTACAAAGACCGCTCGCCAGGGACCAATAAGAAGGGCTTCGCATTGCACAGTGAAGTAGTGGCCCACTTCGCAGCTGTTTACGCATTTCTCTAGTCTGCCAGAGAGATTGAAAAGGAATCATAACCGATTCCTTCATCATTGTTATTACTACAGGAAGGCAGTTTCAAGCCAACACCAACCAGAGTCATGCTAGAATATACCCTCTATTCTATCAGCAGTGATCCTCACTCAGTCTGCGCGAGGTGTCTGTGCCATCCCAGCCAATTCTGGACTTCTGGTTTGCTGTCGTGACTATAATGTAGCTCTAGTACCTGCACACCTTGCACAATTATGCATTGATGCTGCTATGTGAAAAGTAGTTTCCAGGTGAAGCTGTCACCCTGTAATAACCAAAGATCACCTCACTTCTGTTTATGCATTGATGTACTGCCTGCCATGCGCAATGGCTGTCCATCTCAACAAAGTGCTCTGCTATTTAACATGATTTTTGCTCTACTGGATACATAGATTCCAAACTCGGTGCTTGAAACTACTGTTTGAACCAGATTCTGAGTCGTAACGGTACTATTACATTGGTTTCATATATTAGGTGTAACACTTCGCCACGGACCTTTTTCTTGGGATGCTCTTGCATACTCGCACCACCAAAAAACAAGAAAAACACTTTCTTTTTCCTTCTCAAAACCCAAAATAAGACCAAGAAGCTTCAAATGCTAAATAACATGCTGCAACAAGCACATGACTCGACTTGCAGAGTTACCCCTGACTTCATCGAGAAAGGATGCCATCGAGAAAATCTAAGATATTTTTACCATGTTCTCATTTGGCGGCATCAGAATCAGGTTCTGCTTTTTTCGGCTTGCCGTAGTTTCTGAAACTTTGGGATACAGCTGCAGCAGATAGTGTGTGCCACAACAGATCCCCAACCATATAGGAGTAATTAATATAAACCATGAATGGAAAATTGCAAGAAGGTACAATTTTGAATGAGAAGACGGCGAAGATTTCCGCTTACTTCATAGTCTCCACTTTGAACCTTCAATAGCAAGTAAAAAGGGACTATCTCCCGAGAAGGAAACAGAAGAGACAGCATACACAAACAATGGCAAAGCTCAGTATTCCGATTATCTACAACAGTTTATAGTTGCAGTAGAAAATGATCATGAAAAACAAAGAAATATTAATGAGAGTCGGACTTTTATAACAACTAATTCCTAACTCACTCCGTTAGTTTAATCTATCGAGTGATGCGAAGGAATTAACTTAATCAATAAAAAGTCCTTGCTTGAAAACTTTTACAATTCCAAAAAGAAAAAGTTTCATCTATATAAGGATGTTGGGTTCAATTTGCAGATCCTATAATTGCAAAAAAAAAAACCTTTTTACTTCTTTATTGTAGAATACCCCAAGTTCACAGTCAAGCAACGAAAATTTCCATGTGAGTTAGGTGCATGGTACATATTTGATCATTTACACCATCAAATGTCACAAATGTTACATCATCTAATATGATTTTGAATCTATAGTACATTATTAATGAGGTTAGCTGGGCTTTTTGTTAAAAATGTGATTGACAGTAACCTAATATCAATGTTATCTGTAAAAATAATTCATTATCATTTTCAACATTTGAACCATCATATCTACCCAAATAATTAAAAAAAAGTCGTCGATTACCTCAATGTAATTTTAGTGAGGGGATTTTTTTTTAACTTTTAGTGAAAATTTGAATTTTCTTTTTATTTTTCAATTTATTATAATGTGGGTCACCTAATACATTTAGTAAGAAGTCATCGGCTACCTAACGTGTTTTCATGTACCGTGTCTTTTGTTTTTCTCTACCTTCCATCCATCATATCTACCTAAACAGTTGAATACATTGGAGCATTCAGATGCGGCTAATACTCGTTTGAGCAAGATATATGAAACCTGATTGGGAGGTAGTGACATTAGACCACCAAGTAATGAAGAAGAGCTCAAGAAGTGGAAAGTGAAAGCACACGAGGCCTTGCAGGATTGAGACAACATTTCACAGAGGTCGAAGACCTTCATGGAGAAATCATAGAGATGGATCCTGGAGATCCTATCACAACAAAAGAAGGACGAGGATCGTTGCTCACAATCTAAAACCCGAAAATAATGGTGTTATTACAGCTTCTGCATTGCTTATGGGTCATGATCATTGCTCACTTCTCTGCAACCGTCGGCATTGACTTGAGGAGCTCCGAATGGCCTGCGACACAGCCGACGTGCAACGGCATGTGCCCGGCTCCTCGGAGAGCCGTCTCCTCTAGGATGAGTGTATTGCTTCTGATCAAGTCATTCAGTTCATCCACATTGGGCCTCTGAGCTGCTTCTAACAATCTTGGGTCCGTTTGAGGGGGACGTATCTGCCCTGCTAATTACAACTAACAATGACTAATGTGCACAATAAAGTGCAGGTCCTCCTCTAAGCATAAGTCGTGGTTTTATATGTTGGAAATCGCTTGATCATGGGAACTTAAGAATTACAACACCTATGCTTAGTTTCTTCTTCGGATCAGTCAAGGATCATTTGATTCTATCTCTAGTATTCTTCACACCATAACATGCCAATAACTAGAATGAAGAACAGAGAATATCCATCCAAAATTAAACCATTGATCTCCATTAAAAGACATGCTAAAGCCCCAAACCATAGAGTACGGTCCCACGGAAAGATAATTCCTAATTCCAATTGATATTGTACACCGAGTCGGTAGATAATAATTTCCTGTTCTAAAACCCAAAAAAGGCGTCCTTTCGCCTCGAGCATTCCCCAAAGTTCTTTTATTTAGTTATTTCTTACGATAGGTTTCATATTCATGCGTATATAAGTCTTCTATTATTATTATTATTATATGATATATGAGACCAAATCAAAAGATTACTCTGAAATTGGGTTATTCTAGAATTAGATCTCAACCTTCTCAGGAAGTTACTCTTCTGTTATCGGCCTAAAGCTACCTGTGAAATGCAGTAATCATCTTTCAATTTCATTTGAATTTTTATCGGCACCATTCGATTCGATCCGACCAACTTTGCACGTCCTGCGCTTTTGTTTCAATTCCATGTTCACTGCTTGTCTCATATCCATCCCCATTAGTTTAGCGAGTGCTCACAGGTACTAACATTAATTCTCCCACCTGTTCTCACAGAAATTCTCAACCTCATAAAGATATTCTGTTGTTGGACCATTCATCTGAAGAATTAAGGACCAAATGAGTTCTTAGAAAAAACTCGTGCAACCTCTTCTCAGAATCTCGATTGCTGTCCGTGAAGTCACAAATGTGCTATAAACTCAGGACACATTTTAATAGGAAAATACGATACAGTAAATCGCACAAAACAATCAACTTCAGAGTATCAAGGACATTAACTGAGGAAACAGATTATAAGGAAAATACGATATGGTGAATCCCTCGGGGACATTACACAATCAACTGCAGAGAATTAAGGACAGGAAATCAATATCTGACCTTGTCAAACAAACTCCATCCAATACTGCTAAAGGCTTGCATTTCTTAGCTCAACCTTAAGGAAAGAGATATACCATCATTAACAACGACGAATTAGGCCTTTAGACGGTATATATCCCCTAGGAGGTTAAACCGAGAAAGCCTTTCCAAGCAAAAATCTAAAGCTAGCGCCAACCGCCTCTGTATCAATAGAATAAGAATTGGTGTCGTTAGCGTCAGCACGCTCAACAATTCCCCCTTTTTCAGACCAAACGCTTTGTCCAGAAACGTGAAAAGTAGGTAACACGTGAAGCAATAGTAAGTGTGAACCATTGCGGTCACGGAGAGTAACAGTGGCAGCCTGACAGGGAGATCTCTGGTGAGGCAAATGATCATCTGAATTGACAGCAAGAGTCCAAATGTGTTGCCACTCATGAAGGCGATGTACGCGATGGCCCTGCCAAGAGGACCGGTCATCCAAGATTCATAGGATGCGAGGAAGCCTTTCGTAAAACCGCTGTCGACTTTTGCTGCAAAGCTTGGAGGCTGAAGCACAGCTTGGTAGGTCGCGCTTGCGATGAGTGTGGCGACAACCAGCAGGGCGTTGCGTTTGTCGCCCATTGACTCTTTCTCTTTGTTCAAATTTTTCAATGGGGAACACGATAATGTTTGAGGAGCATTTGTGACTGGTTCCACATCTGACTGATCTTCCTCCGAGAGTAGTCTTGTAGCAGGTGAGTTTGATCTTCCTCTTCCGTGTTTGGCTACAGCTTCTGTGTCATTAACATCGACTGATTGGGTCCTTAGACTGTACATATCCCCTAGGAGGTTAAACCAAGAAAGCTTTTCTAACCAAAACTCTAAAGCTAGTGCCAACCGCCTCTGTGCCAGTAGCAGAAGAATTGACGTCGTTATCGGCAGCACGGTCAACAATTCCACGTTTATTAGACCAAAAGCTTTGTCCAGTAACGCGTACGGCAGATAATAAGTGAAGCAATAGTAAGTTTGAAACAGTGCGGTCACAGAGAGTAACAGCGGCAGCCTGACGGGGAGATCTCTGGTGAGACAAATGATCATCTGGATCGACAGCAAGAGTCCAAATGTGTTGCCACTTATGAAGCCAAAGTATGCAACGTCTCTGCCAAGAGGATGAGTCACCCAAGATGGATAATATGCAAGGAAGCCTTTCATTGAATAATCATCGACTTTTATCCTAAAGCTTGGATGCTGAAGCACGGATTGGTAGGTTGAGTTTGCGATGAGTGTAGCGACAGCTAGCAGGGTGTTGCGTGTATCACCTATCGACTCTTTTTCTTTGTTCAAAATTTTCAAATTTGCAGCTGTTTCCCAATCTGATTGATCTTCCTCCGATACTTGTCTTGAAGTGAGTGAATTGGTTCTTCTTCTTCCGCGTTTGGCTCCAGCTGATGTGTTAATTTCTCTAATCTCTCTACCATTAACAATGGCAGATAGGGTCTGAAGACTGTACATATCCCCAAGGAGGTTAAAACGAGAAAGCCTTTCCAAGCAGGAATCTAAAGCTAGAGCCAACCACCTCTGTGCAAGTAGAAGAAGAAGTGATATCGTTACCGGAAGTACGCTCAACAATTTCACGTTTTTCAGACCAAACTCTTTGTCCAGTATCGTGAATGGCAGGAAATACGTGAAGCAATAGTAAGTTTGAACCATTGCAGTTACGGAGAGTAACAGCGGCAGCCTAATAGGGAGATCTCTGGTGAGGCAAATGATCATCTGGACCGACACCAAGAGTCCGAAAGTGTTGCCACTCATGAAGGCGATGTACGCTAAGTCCCTGCCAATAGGACCAGTCATCCAAGATTCATAGGATGCGAGGAAGACTTTCGTGGAACTACTGTTGACTTTTGTTATAAAGCTTGGAGGCTGATACATGGCTTGGTAGGTCGTGCTCGCGATGAGCGCGGCGACAACCAGCAGGGCGTTGCGTATGTCGCACATTGACTCTTTTTCTTTGCTCAAATTTTTCGAAGCAAGCAAGTTTGATCTTCCTCTTCCATGATCGGCTCCAGCTTCTCTATCGTTAACAAATTGGGTCCTCAGACTGTACATATTCCCTGGGAGGTTAAACCAAGAAAGCCTTTCCAACCAAAAATCTAAAGCTAGCGCCAACCACCTCTGCGCCAGTAGAAGAAGTATTGACATCGTTATTGGCAGCACGGTCAACAATTCCACGTTTATCAGACCAAACGGTTTGTCCAGTAACGTGAACGGCAGGTAATACGTGAAGCAATAGTAAGTTTGAACCAGTGCAGTCACGGAGAGTAACAGCGGCAGCCTGACGGGTAGATCTCTGGTGAGGCAAATGATCATCTGGATCGACAGCAAGAGTCCAAATGTGTTGCCGCTTATGAAGCCAATGTACACTAAGTCCCTGCCAAGAGGACTAGTCACCCAAGATGCATAGTAATGGAGGAAGCCTTTCGTTGATTTATCATCAACTTTTATTTTAAAGCTTGGAGGCTGAAGCGCGGCTTGGTAGGTTGCGCTCGCAATGAGCGCGGCGACGACTAGTAGGGCATTGCGTATGTCTGCTATCGACTCTCTTTCTTTGTTCAAAATTTTCGAATTTGCAACTGGTTCCTCATCTGATTGATCTTCCTCCGAGACTAGTCTTGAAGTGGGTGAGTTGGTTCTTCTTCTTCTGGGTTCCGCTCCAGGTGGTGCGTTAATTTCTCCAATATCACTAATTTTAACCACGACGGATTGGGTCCTTAGACTGTACATATCCCCTAGGAGGTTAAACCAAGAAAGCCTTTCCAAGCAAAAATCTAAAGCTAGCGCCAACGGCCTTTGCGCCAGCAGAAGAAGAACTGACATCGTTACCGGCAGCATGCTCAACAATTCCACGTTTTTCAGACCAAACGCTTTGTCCTGTAACGTGAATGGCAGGTAATACGTGAAGCAATAGTAAGTTTGAACCATTGCGGTCACAGAGAGTAACAGCGGCAACCTGACGGGGAGATCTCTGGTGAGGCAAACAATCATCTGGACCGCCACTAAGAATCCGAATGTGTTGCTGCTCACGAAGATGACGTACGCAGAGTCCCTGCCAAGAGGACCGGCTATCATAGATGTGTAGTATGCATGGAAGCTTTTTTCGGACTCAACTTTTTTAATAAAGCTTGGAAGTTGAATCACGGCTTGGTAGGTGGTGCTAGCAATGAGCGCAGCGACGACCAGGAGGGCGTTGCGTGTGTCGCCCATTGGCTCTCTTTCTCTTTTGAAATTCTTTGATGGCAAACGTGATGATGATTGAGGAGCATTCGTTGCTCGTTCCCCATCTGATTGATGACTGTTAGCTCCCTGGATATCGTCGTCCTCCACCGAGAATAGTGGCGAAGCGGGCGTGTTTGATCGTCCTCTTCTGTGTATGTCTCCAGTTCGTGCGTGAATTTCTCTCATCTCTCTGTCTCCTGCTCCCCTTTGTGAGAGAACTGAGGCATCTGGAGGCGTCAAGCCACTTCGTTCGAGGCGCACACATCTACGACCTCGTAATCCATAGCATGCCAACGAAGCATGAAGTCAACCCACCTGCAATTTTTTTCCATCTTTGTTTTGTTCTCATAGAGTTACAGATACTTAGATAATACAGAAAATGATTTTGGCATATTGTGGGGATGCCAAATTCCTAGGAAGAATATTGCATATTCTAGTGATACCAATCTAACACCCTCGCTAAAATGATGCGCCAAGAAAAGTGCGATAAAAGAAGGGAACCTGCGGCGAGATGCCAGACGGTATTGCCTTTTGTTGTCCTTCTGACCGATCACCCGCTCATTCTTGTGCTGTGCTCCACCAACACAGCGACCGCGCCAAACCAGTTGCCCTTCACGGCGAGCTGAGGCGCCGTCTCCTCTCGGGCGGTCGTCATCTCTTCGACGCGGACTCAGGCGAAGCGGAGAGCAGCACCTTCAAGACATGGAGGTCCCCGTTCACGACGGCATAATGCAAGGGGACTCTCCTCTCCCTTCCCTTCACAAAGCATAGGCACTCAAAGAGCTCCCTCGCTGTAATGACCGAGAAAGAGATAGAGGGGGAGTCAAGTCGGGAGGGGATAGAGGGAAGAAAAAAGAGGGAAAAGAGAAGGAAAAAACAAGGAGAGAGAGAGGGAAGTAGAGCGAAAGAGAGGGAGAAGAAAACAAGGTGGAGAAAAGAGGAGGAGAAAAGGAGAGAAAGAGAGAGAGAGAGAGAGAGAGTCTTCTTAGGACACCTTAGGACTAAGAAATCTATTAAATTATTGATCCAAGTTATAGAGTTTCCTTGATATTTTTCTGAACTACAATTTTTCTTAAAGCTCATTGGTGGAGTCTTGGGGTAATTAAGTATAGTGAGATAAATTGTCGACCATGCGATTTGAAGCAAAAATGAATCTTGCTAGCGTGACGGTGCCGTTAGATTGAGTTCTTGATGGCGCTATGTTGACCACAATCTTCATTTCAAGAAGAACTGGCTACTGGAAATTTATAGGTTGTTTTATTCTTGATATAGTTGTGCAAATTAACAATGGATCGTCACGTAGATAGAAGAACCTAGAATATCTTAAATGAATAATATTAGATAAATGAATGTTTTTAAATCTAGGAAAGGTACGAAATTTGGGCGTTAAATAGATTTAAGTGTAATCAAGTCCCCCGATCAAAATCTCTGATTTGTGGAGGTCAAACGACCTCCCGCGTTTTACTTGGCTTGTGACTTGCCTCGAATAGGCTTGTGGTGGCTCTTTAAGTAAAAACATATTTTCATAATTAACCTAGAAACCATGTTGCGTTTGGTGGGGTTTAGGAGAACCAAGTCAATTATGAGCGCCACCTCGTAAGAGGAATCATATGTGCTTACTTGGCAATCCGTCAACCACCTCGAGGCAAAAAATTACCTTATGTTTCATCTCGGAAGGGTTGCAACAATCCATACAAGAGAGAAACCTCACACATCTATGGTGCACAATTACAAACCTTGATACCAAGAGGGAAGAAGCCATAAAGTCCAAATATGTTGGAAACAAATAAGTCATGTTTTGAACAAACAGTTTTAAGTCGTTGATGTTAATTTTATTGTAACCTTGAAGTAACAAAAACACAATCTGTAATATTTTAAAAATTCTATAATTTTTGTAAATTTCTGCGATTCTTTTTTAAATTTTGTGAATTTTTTATTCAGTATAGTGTTTCCTTATTGCATTGAATGAAACCGCTTGAACAAATTAAACAATTAAATTATTGATAATTTAGCGACTAATAACATATATCTTTAGCTTTGTTAATTGACATATATATACACACACACGTACATGTACACATACTATATTCTACGATTTTTTTTAAAATTTTAAGCTATTCAATTCATTGTGAATTCATGTTAAGCAAATTTGAAATTAGCAAGAAAGGCAACATAAGCTATAAAAATTATATATTTTAAGTGAGATAACTTCTTTTATCTCTTAATTAGTAATTTCATTCAGTATTTCACTTAATGCAGTAAGCTATAATTTAAATTATACTGAATTTAAGATAACAATACATTAGAAGTTGCATATCAAGCGGCTTGTTTTCTTAAGTTTTCATTGTGATGGGAAAGTCTTTTTCAACTTTATTGTGATGTGAATGAATCGATGCGCTCATTGAGCAAGTCACTGGTTACCTAACACGTGTCGATTACTTAAATGTACTTATGAAGTGAATCGACTAACGCGTCTATTAAAAAAAATTATTGGGTTTTTTTTTTTGCTAAAATGCTAAAATATTGGTCGTGTAACACATTTTCGTGCACTGTCTTTGTTTGTTTTCTCGAGGTCTAAGAAGTCAAAGCTTGGAAATTGGAGAAGGCCAAAGGTTTGCTTGTGCACTTCTTTCTTTAGTGGGGTAGTAGGGCCCCGGAAGATCTAGCTTGGCTTTAATATTCAAAGTGAGACATAACTTCTTTCTTCATATTTTTATTTCTTTCTTTTTCTTTTTTTCTTGGTAATTTTGCTTAAGGTTGAAACCAAAAGTGAGTTTGCTTTATTATATGGATCCACCAATCAAACACGGTTCGTCATAGAAATCTCAACTCACTTTCTTTCACATGGCACAATGTCATTTTTAATGGAAGAATTACCCAAAAAGTCATAAATCTATTGCAATTGTGCCAATTAATCCTAAACCTTTTGTATTTATGCCAATTCAGTCTATCCGATCAATTTTGGCTGGCCAGCGCCGACGTGACACGACCGGCACTGACGTTGACAATTTTTAATAAATATTTTAATATTTTTTAATTTTTTAATTATATTTTTCTTTTCTCTTTTTTTTCCTTCTTCCTCTAGCCAGCGAGGTGGACCTCACCGTCGCTAGGAAATATTTGTTATTGAACATTACTTTAGTATGGCTATCAATTTTCATTTGGAGATGCTTTTCAATATTTGTTATCGAACCAATTTCCTTCTATGCTATTTTCCTACTAATTGTTTAAAATATTAATAATCTCTAATTAAAAGAAAGGCCCGCTGGGAAATTTGAGGAGCCAAAACGAATAACATAGTGGATGGGGACATGCTGATTGAGGAACAAACCCTAACAATTTGCTTTCAAAATATTTAACAATATTTTATGATTTTTTCATAGGATTATCTTTTATGTACACAACTAGTGATCAGTTGTGTGTTTTCAAACCCCAACGTAATGATTTCTCGAGACTTTGGGGTGAGGTTTTTATCAATAAAAGCTGGACAGACATTTTCTGGTTGCGAATATGATGAGATATATATTTAATTATTACATCATCTTTGTTTATTACTACCACTTTCATATCCCTTTTGCTCATTTTTCTTTTTCTAGAGCTGTTATAATTACTTGGTTTAATTTAATATTTCTTTTTCCTCTTCACATTTCATCAAAATAATCCATCAGCTTTCATTTTCATCAGGTAATTACCCTCATTTTTGTTTGCTGCCACTTCTAAATCATTAAATAAGTCTTTTCTTTTGCTTTGTCGCAAAAAAAAATTCGAATATAATCAAGTCACCCCCAAAAGATAAAAAAAAGAGAGAAAAGAATGACATGTGAATTTACACGTCAATATAAGCTATAATTTGAAGATCACTCACATGTGAATTTACACATCAATATAAGCTATATTCTCATTGACCTGCAAGTCGTTCTCTTCTTGGCATTATCTGGTGAATGGTCGGTCATTCCATTCGCCGCTCCTAGTCCAAAGGGGCCTTTCCTCTTCACTTCTAGGATTCTTCCTCTACGCGCGCTTATTCGCTGCCTTCCAGGCATTACGGGGTTACCCTGTTGGACCAGTACATTGGTATCGTGTCGAGAAGCAAGGACAAAAAAGAAAGAAATGAAGGCAATAGCTCGTCAACGCGTCAACCTACGAAATAATTTGGAGGTTTCGCTGTAGAAAAGAGTCCAGATGCGGAGGTCTCACAAAGTGAAAAAGTCAAGACTGAAAGGGCAAGTTCGAAGAAAGCTCGTTCATTACTATTCAATTTCGTCTCTTTAGACTAGAACGACAGAATTGGTAGTGACACTCCGTGTTTTCATGAATCAGTACCTCGTGGCGACATTAGTCGTGTATATAATGTAATGTATATTGTCGTCTAATGTTTATAGACCTCCTGTGCCCCTGTGAGAGAAAGCGCGAGAGCAAACGATGGCTTGCAGGGATGCGGCTTGGTTTGCAATAACAGTGGTTGTTGTGATGCTGTCTCTCACAGTGCCTCCGACTTGGTCGATGGCGCTTCTATGTCTTCTCGGAATGCTTGCTTCTGCAGTTGATAAAGCTGTAAGCATGATGAGACCAGGACCGCGTCTTCCAATATCTGCTTCGGCTCCTGCAGTTGATGCTCCGGCTCCTGCAGCTGTTGCAGTTGCTCTTGCTCCGGCAGCTGTTGCTGCTAGAAGAAATATGAGAAGCAAGCCGGTTAGTTTTCACTGCCTATTTGGGATTTGTATTGTTGCTTCATACTTCTTTTACATTAATATGGTGGAATCGGTCCTCTGCTTGCAGTTCGACCCAACAAATGCTAAAATTTATCTACAATTTTACAAATCTTCTTTGACATGAATGATTGAACCACTGAATTTTGAAAATAGGAGATCCTATCCAAACTCTAAGCACTATTGATATTGGCGAGGGCTAGCCTTGCCAGATCTAGCGAGGTTGACTCTCGCCCAGGCCATGGCGGCCTAGTGAGGTTAGCCCTCACCGGCCCTTGCCCAACTTGCCCGGCGTTGCCTGGGCCAAGGTGACGCCTGGCAAGGGTTGCCGTGCCTGGGCGAGAGTCGGCCTCGCCAAATCTGGCGAAGCTAGCCCTTGCTGGCCATCGGCAAAAAGAAAAGGGGAAAAAATGAAAAAAATCAGAAATATTTTCAAAATTGTTTAAAAATGTCAACATCAGCATCGATCAGGCCACGTAGGACGGCCGATGTCCACATCAACAATTTCCGCCAAAATTGGCCGGATGAACTTAATTGGTAAAATGTGAAAAGGTTTATGACTCAATTGATAAAATTGAAAGGTTTATAACCGAATTAGCAAAAGTTCAATAGGTTTAGGACTTTTTGGACAATTTTCCCATTAATATTGTACGTTGAGCCTGTTTATTACTTTTTCTTTTTCTTAATTTTAAAATAATATTTAAATTAACTGTGAATTCATGCATCAACATTTGAGTGTTATGAATGTTTTGAGTATTTTGGATTATTTAAAAAAGTCAAAATGTGCAATTTGCAAGACTCAGGAGCAGTTCACTTACTGTTTATGGTTCGCCTCCATCAGAACCACAAAACTATGTTTTTTTCTTCTTCTTTTGTTTGGCTAGAAGCATAAGACCAAGTCTTATGCTTCCCATGTGAAGCGATTCAGTTTCCTTAACTTGACAGGGATCATCTTCAACCTCATCGTTGTCATCTGGATTCAAGTATGACGTATACTTGAATTTTAGACATCTAGATACTCACGACGGAATCACGGTTCACCTTTACACACAATTGGTAGAAGCCGGGATCAGGGTCTTCAATGATAGATATGACCTCACCCCCGGAAAAGAGATTGGGCTGGAGCTAAGAGAGGCGCTCGTGCGGTCGAGGATCTCGATAGCCATCCTCTCCAAAAATTATGCTTTCAGTGAATTTTGCCTCAATGAGCTGGTACAAATGTGGGAGTGCAGAAAAACAAATGGACAGATTATTTTCCCGATTTTCTATGATGTTAGTCCCATGGATGTAAGGCACCAGGCTGGGGATTTTGGAAAGCCCTTTGCTCTACATCATATAGACAGAGTCGACTCAAATACCATCGACACATGGAGGGAGGTTCTTCGACAGATCGGGCGATTAAGGGGATTTAGCCCGAGGGACCTAAATGGGTGGGTATTGCTTTTACTTCTGGTTTCCTTGTTCTTTCCTAGATAAATGGGAGAAAAAAAAAGTGTAAAATGATGTGAAAATGAACCCAAACCTTCTTTAATAAATATGCATGTAATCATATCGATAATGATTTAATTTTTGTCGGTCCATTCTCCACTTTCATTTCTGTCTACTTTCAAATATTTTCGGTGACTTTCTCGTCATCCTCGTGCTTCGTCACTTGACGTTTTGCAGGCACGAGGGCGAGCTCGTAAAAAGAGTTGTTGCACATGTGGCGCAACTGTTGAAGAGGGATGACCAAGTTGTGACCGACAAACTAGTTGGAATCGATCGTCATGTTCAAGGGATGATGAGAAAGCTTGGTGTTGCCTACAGTGAGGGACAAGCGGTCGAAGTACGAGGGGAAGAGGTACGCGTCGTCGGAATATGGGGTGCACCGGGTGTCGGAAAAACTACACTTGCAAAGGTTGTCTTTAACAAGATGCGTAAGTTGTTTGATGCAAGTTGCTTCCTTGAAGATATTAGTTTGGAAGGAGTCCCGTTTTCACGACGACTATTAATTGCCGACCTTCAAAAACAAAAGCCTGCACCACTTGAATGTTCCCGTGAAGGGATTGAAGAAATAGCAAGTCTATGTCGTAATGTGAAGGTTCTTATTGTGCTTGACGATGTGGATGAGGATGAACAGATTAGAGCATTAGCTGGGAAGCTTACTTGGTTTGGTCCAGGAAGTAGAATCATTGTGACAACAGACAAAAGAAATGTTTTAAATGCTTTTGATATTGGAGCATTTGATCGTGGGACAGTTAAAGATTACAAGGTTGAACCAATGAGTGATGACCACGCTCTACAACTCTTTCGTAAGCATGCTTTTGAAGGGGATGCTCCCGAAGGTGTCTCTGAGTATGATTCCTTGTGCAAAGACATTGTCAAAGCTATTGGAGGGCTTCCTTCGGCTATTGTGGATCATGCTTCGTCTTTACGCCGCAATATGAATATGGACATATGGAAGAGTACCTTGGACTTATTGCAAAAGCACCCAAAAGATAGGCCAGCTGCCTCTCAAGTCAGTCATGCAGGAGGATCAGAGCATAGCGTGATCCAACGGGTTCAATGAAGAGGAAGAAGCCCTGCACTTTTGGACTTCGAATGCATTGCACAAATCTTGATGCTATGCAAGGCTGGAGGTTCGAATTTTAAGTTTTCGTGTGTTTTGAATTTCCTATGTCTTTAATGCGTCTAATTTCCAATCTCAATGTTTTTTAAATTTCCCGTAACTTTAATGTTTCCTAGTTAGCACTATATATATATATATATATCTGTGGCACATTCTCCTTAGTAAGAATTTAGATTTGAATTTGCTAATATATGGAATTTTTTTCGCAAGTGAAGTGAGTGAATCCTTCAATTCGGTTCTTTATCTAATTCTTTGTTGGCGAACCTTATAAGTTCTTTATCCTGGATGGCGAAAAACTCCTTTATGCTTTAGTGGTGGACTCCATCTATTCCTAAGTTACTTTCCGTCAAACACTTTCAGCTTCTTCTTAGTCTCACCATGCATCGGAATATTTTATGGAAAAAAGGATATCATAATCAATAGATTTTCAAAAATTACTGAGGACAGTAAAAATATCGTAAAGCTGAGGCAATTGCTCGAGAATCATTCTCGGAAGTCATGAGGCGTATAGGAGGCACTTCTCATTTGGTAGATTCTCTCTTTTGTTCCCTTGGTCACATCTTTGTTCCCCTCCTCCGTTACCATCATATGCATGTTACTAGGTTAAAAAGACACTAATAATGCTATAACTTTAAATAATCACTTAAATGTGATAACTTTTGAAAAAACGTTCGCTTGACAATTTCTATTTCTTGAAAATCAATTGTGGTATTATTTAATATTAATTGTCTTGCATGACTTGCAAAAAATAAAATTGCACGTCAATGAGACGTTGATTTTGAAATTTGCAATTGAGGGCATGATCAAGAGAAGCGGCCCACAATCGTCTCGGCAATTTTTTGAATCGGTCCCCACAACCACATCAAGTAGAATAACAATTACTGATTTTGTAGGTGGTTGAACAAAATACAACATTTACCTTTCAAAACACAATAAATCATTCACCTTTTCCCTGTTATAATATTTCTCGCTTGTCTTCCAAGCCTTAATTTTTTCCCTTCAAACTGTTGTTTTTTTTTTTTCACCTTCAATGTTTGTGTGGAGAGAGAGTAATATAACCAATTAATCACCTATCCTCCAATAATTCTTCTATGCTTCGTCATTTAGAATGTTTTTTTTTTTAAAGTTATAATACTTAAGCGATCACTTGAGAAGTTATGGACACCAAAGTGAGGATCGTGTGAAAGTTATTGCACAATTAGTGTTCTTTTCCCCGTCTAATTATATGTGTTGTAACCAATTGTGGATTAATCCACAGGTGAGGGAAAATAAACTTCAAAAGTTGGGGGAAAGAACACAAAAGCAAAACTCTTTGCCAACTCGGCAATGTTACTTCCTAAAGAACAAAAATGACTGGAATTATTACAAAATTACTCGTGTTATGATTAGCTCACAAGCCTCTATATCCATTGGCTCTGCATATATTAGTAGTGAAAAACCCGCGCTCTTACACGGAACTAGATGGTGCTTACTTTCATAATTTCGTTATGGAATGTTTACAATAGCTTGATCATTGACACATCTAAAACGGCAAAATAAGATGTTGTAATCACAAAAAATAATAATAATAATTATTATTATTATCCAGTGATAATCCTGTCAACCTTTTCGATCTGACCTTATCAAAACCGTTCCGGTTCAAAGTAATATGAAATAGATAATAAACAAAAAAAGAAATGTATTTCAAATAACTATTATATTTTTACCGTGTTCTCATTTGGCAGCATCAAGAACCAGGTTCTGCTTTTTTCGGCTTGCCATAGTTTCCGAAACTTCGGGATACAGCTGCATCAGATAATGAACTCCACACCTACAGATTCCGAACCATATAGGAGGCATAAGCATAAACCACGAATGGAAATTTGCAAGAAGGAGCAATTTTGAATGAGAAAGTGGCCAAGGTTTCCACTTACTTCAAAGTCTCCGCTATGAACCTCCAATAGCAAGTAAAATGCGACTATTTTCCAAGAAGGCAACAGAGAAGACAGCACCCGCAAACAGTGACAAAGCTCGGTATTCCGATTATCTGCAACTACAACAGTAAATAGTTGCAGTAGAAAATTAATCATGCAAAACAAAGGAATATTCATGTGAGTCGGACTTTTATAACAGCTAATTCCTAGCCCGCGTTGTTGGTGTAATCTATTGAGTGATGCAACGGAATTAATTATTCAATAAAAAGTCCTTCCATGATAACTTTTACAATTCCACAAAAAGAAAAAAAAATTCCATCTATAACATAAGGATGTTGGGCTTAATTTGCGGATACTAACCACTGGGGTTTGCTCCAATGGCTACTCTTCTTACTTGAAAATGGGGAGGTGGATAGTTCGATTGCTCACATTCTCAAGGGGGCTAGGGGCTGGGACGTTTAGTTTCAAATGTGGGTTTAGATTCCCACGCTCTGCGAAGAGGTATGACAAAAGTCTGAAAGTGAATTGAGAGTTAAAGTAGGACAGATCAAAAAAATTTTTGCGGATACTATAATTACAAAAAAAAACCTTTTGACTTCTTTAATGTAGAAAACCAAAAAAAAAAAAAGAAATGTAGAAAACCGAGTGCTCATAGTCAAGGAACGAAACTTTCTATGTGAATTAGGTGCATGGTACATATTTGATTATTTACACCGTCAAATGTCACAAAAGTTAGATCCTTTAATATGATTTTGAATCTATGGTACATGATTAATGAGGTTAGCTCGTCTATTTAATAAAAATGTAATTGACGGTAACCTAATTTCATTATTATCTGTGAAAATAATTCATCATCATTCGATGTTGAAACAATTGTATCTACCCAAATAATTAAAAAAAGTCGTTGATCACCTCAATGTTATTTAAGGGAGGGGAATTTTTTTTGACTTTTAGTGAAAATTTGAACTTCTTTGTATTTTTTGACTTTATTATAATGTAGATCACCTAATACATTTATAGAAAAGTCAACGATTACCTCACGCGTTTTTCATGTAGTGTCTCTTTTGTTTTTCTCTTCGTTCCCTCCACCATAACTATGCGGCTAATACTTGCTTGAGCAAGATGTATGAAACCTGATTGGAAGGTAAGCGACATTAGACCACAAGCTAGTGAAAAAGAGCTCAAGAAGTGGAAAGCGAAAGCACACAAGGCCATGTGAGATCGAAACAACATTTCGCAGAGGTGGAGGATCTTAATGGAGAGATCATGGATATGGATCCTGTGAGATCCTATCACAACAAGAAGGGCGAGGATCGTTGATCACGATCTAAGACCTGAATATAATGGTGTTATCACAGCTTTGGCATCGCCCATGTCACGATCATTGCTCGCTTCTCCGCCAACCTTCGACGTTCATATGGCTTGCGACACAGCCAACGTGCGATAGTGGGTACCTGGCTCCTTGGAGAGCCGTCTCCTCTAGGATGAGTGAGTGGATTGCTTCTGATCAAGTCATTCAGTTCGTCGACATAGTGCCTCTGAGCTGCTTCTAACAATCTTGGGTCCGTTTCGAGTGAACATATCTGACCTGCTAATTAGAACTAATACTGACGAATGTGCACAATATAGTGCAGGCCCTCCGCCAAGCGCGAATTGTGGTTTTATTTGTTGGAAATTGCTTGATCATGGGAACTTTAAAATTACAACACATAAGCTTAATCTGTTCTTGGGATTAGTCACGGATCTTTTGATTTTATCTCTAATATTCTTCACCCCATAACATGCCAATAACTAGAAGGAAGAAATTATCTACCTAGTAACTTTTGGTGAATTTTGGTGGATGCATATCCACTTCTTTGGATGATGATGTAGATCCTAGTTACAAATTCATTCATGAAGAGGGTGTGTGAAAGAATGGCTACAAGCTACTGTCCCCAGAGTCGGTCAGCAAATCGTGTACGTATTTGATTCTGTTAAAATATATCTCGAGTTTGAGCTCGTGAACGAAATGCGACACGAAATAAAATTATATGAAGTGCGGCTTATATGTTTTCGAATAATCAACCGTGTCTCAATTAAGAAAGTCCATATTTGGACTTGGATTGTTGCTGACTCGGAGAAGTCCGAATTTGGGTCAGAAAAGTAAGAAAAGGAAATTCAAGTTTATTATATCCTAATTGAAGTCGGTCCAAGGAAAATCAAAAGGGAGAGTGTTGACCATTGACCAAATTTGGATTCTTGAATGGGATTAACGTTTCCGTGTTGGAGTCGGCTTCTGCAAGTTCTATTTTGGCAATATATGTATGTCCTTTGTTGGTGGGACTCTCCAGCATAGAGACTTGAAGCGCCCTGATGCGAGTGCTTCATGTGCTGTGGATATTGTTGATGAAGAGACGAATGCAGAGTGGATCTTCACGCCTTGTTTTGTCACTAAAGCTGAGGTTTACTTGCGAGCAGATGATAATGGTGTGACATCCACGTTTGGTTCTTGTTCTTGAATTACATCCGAGAAGAATTAGTGTTCAAGCGGAAATCTTGTGGTAAGATTTGTGTATAATTCCTCATAATAGTGTAAGTGAAAATCGGTGGTGCTTTTTCGATCGTCGATATCTCCACCATAATCACTATCCGAATAAGCTCTAAGTTTGAAAGATTCAGAGCAATAATAGTGTAAGCCATGAGAAATAGTACCTTTGATGTACCGAAGTATTCTCTTTGCAGCTTTAAGATGAGATGATTTCGGCTTCTCCATATATCGACTCACAATTCCAACACTATACATAATATTCGGTCTCGTGCATGTCAAGTATCTCAAACTCCCAATCAAGCTTCTATAATATGTCGAATCAACATCGGCACCATCATCAAACTTCGAAAGCTTGGTTCCGCACTCCATTGGTGTATTGACCGGCATACAGTTCTTCATGTTGAATTTTTCAAGGATATTTTCTGCATATCCTTTTTGAGAAATAAAAATCCCATCGGCACTTTGCTTCACTTCGATACCAAGGAAATAATTCATGAGACCATTATCGGTCATCTCAAATTCTTTCACCATCGATGCCTTAAAAGCATCAATCATCGCTGAATTATTTCCTATAAAAACAAGATCATCAACATATAAACAAGCGAGTAGAATATTACCTTTTTCTTGCTTCAAATAGAGTGCATGCTCGTATGGACATTGAGAGAATCCATTCGCCTTGAAATAT